CCCTTCAATAATATTTCTCCACTACCACCACTGTATGTGTGTGAACATCAATTTTTTAAACCAAGCACAAACAACTGTAATTTCTTAAACTAAACCTAGTATTTATTTAAGAAATTATTAGCAATATTTATTTATATTTTACAACAAAATTTTTTTTGTTATGGATAAGTGCCTAAATTTAGACAGAAGAGGTAAAAATACTGATAGCAGTGTGGCAGAGTCTTCACTACCAGGTTGTAGTACACCTAAATTGGCAGGAAAAAGTAAATATGTTGAATCATTTTTGCAATATGGATTTAATTCTGATAATGATGATGGTGTGGAAAAAACCTCTTTGCTTAATTTGTAATGAAGTTTTGGCTGCAGAGAGCATGACACCAGCCAAACTAAAACAACATCTTAATACCAAGCATGCAACATACTGCATGAAACCAAAGGAATATTTTGAACAACTTTTAAATTTCTTCAGATAAAGAAAAACAATGTTTTGAGAAATTTGTTACTGTCAATGAAAAGCATTTGCTCACATCTTATGAAACTTCTTATTTAATTGCAAAAACTAAAAAGCCCTACATGATAGGAAATCTTGTGTTACCTGCTGCTATTAAAAGGTCAGAAACAGTTCATGGGAAAAAGTATGGTGATGAAATTAACAAACTTTTTTTTTTATCAAATTATTTTAATGAAATCTACTGGGTTTTTTGTTGGTTTTTTGGGGGGCACGAGGCAATGGGGTTAAGCGACTTGCCTAGGGTCACCCAGCTAGTAAGAGTCAAGTGTCTGACGCTGAACTTGAACTTGAGTCCTTCTGACTCCAAGGCTGGAGCTCTGTCCCCTGTGCCACTTAGCTGCCTGAATGATAGTGTTTCAAAAAGAATTTCTGAAATGAGTAATGACCAATTCCAGCAGCTTATTACCAGGCTTAAGGGCAGCCCAAAGTTAGTAATTCATCTACATAAAACAATTGATATTTCTTTTCTTTTTTTTTGGTGAGACAATTGGGGTTAAGTGACTTGCTCAGCTTCACACAGCTAGTAAGTGTCAAGTGTTTGGTTTGCAGCCAGATTTGAACTCAGGTCCTCCTGACTTCAGGGCCAGTGCTCTATCCTTTGTGCCATCTAGCTGCCCTGGTTGTATATATATATTTTTTTAAACTCAATGATTTAACATATCACTTCAAGGAAAAAATTGTAACATATTTTGTTAAGAGATCATATTGAAAGTTTTACTAAAAAAGTTAACATATAAAAGAATAGGGTGCAAAATGGTTCTCTAGAAATGTTTACAGCTACAGATGATTTTATAATTGAAAATAACCTTATTTATATAAGAGTCATAATTGACCATCTGAAGTGCCTGGAGACACAGTTTCAGAAATACTTCCCTTCAGATTGTGATTCCAAAAAACTAATTTGGGTTCACAAACCATACTCAATTGAAATTTTAAAAAAATGTCAGCCATCTGTCATTAAAAGTTCAGGAAGAATTTGCTGAGTTATCAAGACACACAGGTTTAAAATCTGAGTTTCCTAAATGAGAGAATCTTATTCTCATGGGATTTGGCTTCAGGAGGGAATAACATACACACTCAATTGGGTATGGAAATCTCTTTTACCCTATAGGAAAATAGGGGAGGAAGGGGACAAGAAAGCAGGGCAATGATGTAGAGAACGGCAATTGGGAAAGGGGTAATCAGAAGGAAGTACTTCTGAGGAGGGCCAGGGTCAAAAGAAAGAATTGAATAGATGGGGGGGCAGGAGAGGATTAAGGGAGATAGAGTTAGTTTTTCACAACTTGTCTACTATGAAGTGTTTTGTGTAACTGCACATGTATGGCCTGTACTGAGTTGCTTGCCTTTTCAATGAGGTAGGTGGGGTGGGAGGAAGGGAGAAAGTTTGGAACCCGGAGTTTTAGGAACGCATGTTTAAAAATAAATGTTTCCACACGGAGCTGGGAAATAAGAAATACAGGAAATGAGGTACAGAAATCTATCCTGCACTGCAGAAAAGTGGAAGGGAAAGGGGATAAGAGAAGGAGAGGGGAGAGATAGAAGGGAGGGCAGACTGGGGAAAGGGGTATTCAGAATGCATGCCATCTTGGGGTGAGGGGAGGGGCAAGATAGGGTGAAAATTTGGAATTCAAAAACTTGTGGAAGTAAATGTTGAAAACTAAAAATAAATAAATTTATATAGAGGAAAAAAAATTTTTGATTAAAAAAAACCTTGAGTTTCCTCAAAAATAGTTAAAGGAATTTTGTTTTAGGATTAGGACAGAATTTCCAACCATTTCCCAAATGGACCTAAAGATATTTTTGCCATTTTGTACTATGTATTTATGTGAAGCTATGTTCTCACCATTGACAATTATAAAACCAAAATTTCTATCAACTCTGAAAAACATTAAAGATGCTCTACGTCCTATAGTTTCAAATATTCCAATAAGTTCTAATTCTTTATGTAAAAATAAGCAATCCATTTCATTAGTATGCAAATTTCCTTTCATCTTTAATAAATGGTAAATTACATGCATATCAAAGAATTGTTTTAAAATAAATTTCTTTATGATTCATTATCAGTAAAAATTTGATTTGTACACGTATTCTATATACTTATATACCCAGCATTGCCTAAAAATGTCTTGAGCAAAAAGGGGTTGTGAGCAGAAAAAAATTAAGAAGCCCTAGGCTACAGAACAGTTTTTAAAGTATTGAAGTTGGCAGGGTGATCTAGTCAGAGACAACTGTGCAGTTGATTTTGTACCAGTAGGGAGCTTGGGAGATGAGGGTGTGTGTGTGTGTGTGTGTGTGTGTGTGTGTTTGGTCTTCTGTCTTACTCTTTGTCTCTGTCATTATCTCTTGGCCTCTGTATTTGTCTCTGTTTCTTTGTCTGTCTCATTTCTAGTCCTTGATTCCAAGCATCACTTCAGCTTCTGATTTGCCTGGTCTGGTCTGCCTTGGTTTCCTTCTAGAACATAGTGGGCTGGGAGGCTAGGAATGCTTGGTTCTCTTTTCATGACATTCGAGGCTGTTCCTAGAGCCAAGGCTCAGGGCCAGGGCAATGGGAACAGGCTAGGGAGAGACCAAGGGAGGGGGGCAGGGAAGCAGGGGGCCAGAGGGCATGGAAGATTTGGAAGGGATGGAAAGAACAGGGAACAGAGGAAGTCAGAGTAGCAGGTGCCTATAGACTACAGGCTTTTTTTGGGGGGTGAGGCAATTGGGGTTAAGTGACTTACCCACGGTCACACAGCTAGTAAGTGTCAAGTGTCTGAGGCTGGATTTGAACTCAGTTCTTCCTGACTCCAGGGCCAGTGCTCTATCCACTGCACCACCTAGCTGTTCCTAGGCTTAGACTCTTGTTAGGCAGAGAGGCAGGCAGTAAAAGTCTGCCTGAAATCCATCCTGGTGCCCCTAAAAGGTGCTCCTCTTCATCTCTCACCTTCCCCCAACCTGTTGGCCTGTCTATGTATCTCCCATGGGCTACAGCTGTCTCAAAGCCCCCAGGGGACACTGGCATTTCATCTCTGTCTCTCTTTCTTAGCCTCTTGCTCCCCTTTGTCTTTCTTCTCTCTGTCTCCTGTTACATGTCTCATTCATCCACCTTTTTGTCTCTTCCACTTGATCTTTGTTTCATCTTTCTGTCCTTTCCTTCTTTCCCTCCTTCTTTCACCATCTTTCTCCGTCTCTCTATACTTCCCCTCCCTTCTTTCTCTTCTTTACTTCTCTCTTTTCCTTTCTCTCTATCTCTATGTCATTATCTTTTCCCTTCCTGATGTATCTTCCATTCCCTTCCTCCCTCCCCCATCTCTTTATCCTTTTGTCTTCCCTTTCCCCTCTTTCTGCTTTTCTCCCTTTCCCTCTCCACTCTATGTCTGTCTCTGTCACTCCTTCTTGGAGGTGAAGTTTAGGATACAGTGCTGGATTTGAGGGTCAGAGGGCTCAGCTTCCCATCTGGGTTCTGCCACTTAGCTGTGTGACCTTGGGAAAGGCATTTGACTGCCCTGGGCCTCAGGTTTCTTTTGTTAACAGGAGATGATTAGACCAGTTGGCTTCTAAGGCTCCTTCCATCTCTACACCTATGATTCTGGGCCTCTGGTTTTCATTGTCTTTTTTCTCAGTGTCCCTCTTGGTCTCTACTTGTTCTTATTTCTCTCTCTGCACCCCCAAAATCTTTCTACTTCATTTTCTCCCCTTTTTCCTCCCCTATACCTTCTTTTTCATCTCTGCTTCTCCAACTTCTGATATATTCTGGGCAAATTTGTGTCTCCACTTTCCCAGATCTCTGTCTCTCTTTGTCTAGTCTCTATGTCAAAGCTTTAGGGGAAGGCTGCAATAGGTCAGGCCTGGGGGGAGGGAGAGAGGCTGGAGGTGTAGTTGGAGCCCAGAGAGGGTGATCCACCTTGGTACGCACACAGCAGAAGGCTGCAGGGCTTTGGCTGGGCATGTCAGGGCTCTGTTTGGCTCAGAAAGGTTCCTCGCACCTCAGGTTGACCTGTCATAGACCTTGGTGACTCCAAGAATCTGATAGAGTGTAGGGATTGCAATGGTTATCTGCCTACTGTGTATTGATCTCTGTCCAAGGAATGACACAGAGAAAGAGAATGGGGGGGAGGGAACAGAGAGAGATAGTAAAAGAGACAGAGCTAGAGGAGGGGAGGGGAGACAGGAAGTCATAAAGACAGACAGGACAGAGAGCAGAGACAGCAGCAGACAGTGTCCCAGAGCTGGGCATGAACAGTGACAGGTGCAGTGGGAGTGTGTTGGAGAGTCTCCACAGACTTTTGGGTGCTATTACAGGGGCATGCTTCGCATGCCATAGGCAGGAGGTGAAGGGGAGTGAGGTGAGATCAGAGTACCAGCGAGGGACAGGGAAGAGCAGAGTGCCTGGGTGGGGCAGAGCTGCTATCACCGCAAGAGCAGGGAAAGGGCGAGCTAGGGCGCGGCCTCCCTCCTGGACTAGGCTTAAAGTCCTGGCACGGGCACAAAGCGGAACAGAGCTTGGGCCATGGATTTCGTGTCGCTCCTTCTTCTGGCAGCCCTCCTGGGGCTCCTGCTCCTCTTGGCACGGGGTCCTGCTGCTTCACGGAAAGGCCGCCTCCCTCCAGGACCGCGACCCTTGCCTTTACTTGGCAACTTTTTCCAGATGGATCGTCAGGGCATCCTGAAATCCTTTTCAGCGGTGAGGACTGGCAGAGCTGCATGGTTGGGCTTGCTTTGGGTCCTGTGAGCACTTGGAGTTGGCAGTGATGCTGCCTGCCTCAGTTTCCCCAAGATCTCTCCTTAATGAGAGATGAGCTCTTTGAGATCCTAAAGGAAATAGGGAAGAGGCTAATGAACTTCTTGAGTTTGTTTCCTGAGGTGCCAGAGAAGTTTCCTCCCTAACTCCCTTATCTTGGAATAAGTGCTCTGAGATCACTCCCTGTGTGGGATTTCTGGGTCCCTCCTCAGCCCCCGTGGGGATGCTTTCCAAATCAGTTTCCTTCCTAGCTATTCTCTAGGAATAAGTGCTTTGAGATCACTCCTAATTGGAAATGTCGGGGAGAGTTCAGTAATGGTGAGAGGGAGGGGTAGGATTCTTTCTAGAGGTAGTGAACCCTGTAAAAGTGGGGAAGTAGAGTGGGTAGAGAATGGAATCACTTATTTTTGGCTCCTTGTTGGTGAGGGATAAACACTTTGAGATTTATCATATGAAGTGGTATGTGGGTATTTGAACTGATAGCCTGAAGAGTTTTTATTGATGAGGGGGAGGGGAAGAGGACAGTTCCAGTAATTCCCTGCTTTTTTTTCCCCTCTGTTCCTGCTTCTTAAAACAAAATAGAACAAAGCAAGAAACCATGGACTCAGTGTGATCTTTCAGAGGGAATGAAATCAGGCCCTAGGTTTCTCCGAGATTTTCAAGGGTGGGGTGGAGGGTATTTCCAGTACTGCCTGCTTCAGTTTTCCTCTGGGAAAAGAGGTGAAAGGTGGGGTGAAGTTCGAAGTATTTACCAGACCTCCAGCAGTGCCATCCACAGATATGGCAGTGGGAGTGATGTGAGTATGGACAAAGTGACATCTGGATTCTACATCCTCCTTCTCCCTGCCCACCAGGGATGCTCACTAGAGCTCTGTCCCTCCCTCCCAACTCAGACTGCTTGTTAGGAGGATCCAGGAACAAGATTGTTTGAAGGGAGGGGTAGAGAGGGGAAAGGAGACTTCAATCTCACTTTTTCTTCTCCTTTTAAATGTTTTCTTGACTCTCTTAATATTTATTTGTTTTGTTACATTTTGAGTTCCACATTATCTCCCTCCTCCCTCCCTCTCAATCCCACTTTAGAGAAACCCAACAATATATATGTGTATATATGTGCATATGTGTATATATGTATATATGTGCATACATATTATATATGTATATATGTGTATATATGTATGTATGTATATACATGTATGTATATATATTTCTTACTTCCATATATCATATAGCATTTTCCTTCATAAGTCCTTCATAACTGATGTGAATGATCATATTATTCATGATAGCTTAGTTAATGTTCAAATAATATTGCTGTTACTGTATAGAATGTTCTCTTGGTTCTGCTCATTTCACTCTACATTATTTCATGCAAGTCTTTTTATGGTTTTTTTTGAAACCAACCTGCTCATCGTTTCTTATAGCACAATAGTATTCCTTCATAACCATATACTGCAACTTATCCAGCCATTTCCCAACTGATGGGTATTTCCTCACTTTCCAGTGCTTTGCCACCACAAAGGGAGCTGCTATAAATATTTTAAAACCTGTAGATTCTTTTCTCTTTTCTCTGATCAACTTGGGGAAGGAGACCTAATAGTGGTATTGCTGGGAACACAGTTTTATAATTCTTTGGGTATAATTCCAAATTGCTCTCCAAAATGGTTGGATCAGTTCGCAGTTACACCAAATGTATTACTATCCCAATTGTTCCACATAGCCTGCAACATTTCTCATTTTCCCCTTCTATCCTTTTGGCCAATATGATAAGTGTGAGATGGTACTTCAGAGTTGTTTTAATTGGCATTTCTCTAATCAATAACGACAGAGCATTTTTTCATACGACTACATATAATTTTGATTTCTTCCTCCAAAAAACTACCTGTTTATATCATTTGACCATATATCAATGGGGGACTGATTCATATCTTCATTATTTAGCTCAGCATTTGAGATATGAGGCCTTTATCTGAGAAACTGGCTATAAATTTCCCCCCTCCCCCCAATTTTCTGCTTTCCTTCTCATCTTGCCGCATTGGTTTTATTTGTACAAAACTTTTTTAAATTTAATGTAATAAAAATGATCCACTTTACATTCCACAATGCTCTCTCTTTCTTGTTTATTCCTGAATTCTTCTCTTATTCATAAATCTGATACGTAATATGTCCCAAGCTTTTCTAATTTGCTTGTGATATTTCCTTTTAAGTCTAGGTTATGCATCCATTTACCAAGACCTTATCTTGGTAAATGGTGTAAGACATTGGTCTATACCTAGTTTCTGCCAGATTACTTTCCTGTTTTCCCAGCAATTTCTCCCAAACAGTGAGTTCTTATCCCCAAAGCTTAGATCTCTACATTTATCAAACAGGACATTATTATAATCACTTACTAGTGTGTATTGTATGCCCACTTTATTCCACTGATCTACTCTTCTATTTTTTAGCTCATGCCAGGTAGTTTTGAGAATTATCACCTTAAAATATACTTTAAGATCTGGTACTCCTTTGACATTTGTTTTATATAAATTCTTTCGATTTTCTTGCCCTTTCATTCTTTCAAATGAATTTTATTTTTTCCAGTTCAATAAAATAATTACTAATAATTTAATTGGGGTGGCACTGAATAAATAGATTAATTTAGGTAGAATTGTTATTTTTATTATATTGGCTCTGTTCTGTCTCTCTTTCTTAACATTCCTGTCAAATTCCCAAAGAAGTGAAGTCAAAGCAAATGGGAACACTAGAGTCTTAACTGTTAGGATAAGATATAATCTGCCAAGGATAAGAGAAAGGAAGATAACCCCACTCTTTGAGCTACTCCTCCAGGAAGGCTGACCAGATCATCAACAATTTCCTGGACTACCAGTGAAGCATTGGGCCAGACCCTGGGGGAGGAGAGGAATTTCTCTGCCTCGGATGCTGAATTGGCAGGATGGGATAGGTGTGGGGGGGTGGCTCTAGGTATGATCTCAGAAGCATAGAAAATTAGAGTTGGAAAAGCCTTTAGAACATAGAATGTCAGACCTAGAAAGGCCCTATAAATGTAGATAATAGAATATCAGAACTGGAAGAGACCTTAGAACACAGAATGGTAAGAGTTCGGAGGGATCTTAAAGCACGGAATGCTAGGAGGGAGCTTAGAACATAGAACATTGAAGGTTAGAGCTAAAAGGGTTCCTATAAACCTTCTATTTTAAATACATCCCTCTCCATTGTACAGAGGGGAATCCATTGTGCCAACTGGGATCTAATGGGGTGGGGCTTTTCCCATAGCTTCGGGACAAGTATGGGGATGTATTTACCATCTTCCTGGGCTCCCGACCTGTGGTTGTGCTATGTGGGACTGAGGCCGTGAAGGAGGCTCTGGTGGAGAAGGCAGAAGAGTTCAGTGGCCGAGCACCCATTGCTATGCTTGAGCCAGTCTTCCAGGGGCAGGGTGAGTGGGCCATGCCATGGCAGGGGTTGGGGAAGGGTGACAAGGTGGTGGTAAGGCTCGAGGAAGGAGGGACTTCACACTCTGAGGATCAGAGAAGGAGACAGGTAAGAGCTGAAGATAAAGAGAGGAGGATCAGGGTGGACAGAGGAGACAGATTAGAAAGTAGAGGAATAAGAAGACTAGGGAAGAGAGATTTGAGGAATGAAGGATGTGAGTAGGACAGGGTCTGAAACCCAATCCCTTTTCCTTTTAGGGGTTGTCTTTTCCAATGGTGAAATGGAAGACTTTGCGCCGATTCTCCCTGGCCACTCTTCGAGATTTTGGGATGGGGAAGAGAACCATTGAAGAACGGATCCAAGAGGAGGCCCAGTGTCTGGTTGAGGAGCTGCAGAAATCCAAGGGTGAGAAAAAGGATGTAGACCCAATTAGAAATGGAGATCAAAACAGCCCAAGAGACACATCAAGAAAGAGAAGTATACAGAGAGATATACTGAGAGGAATACAGATAGGCCCAGAGACAGAAGTTGAGAAAGGGAACAAAACCAAATCTGACCACCAGGGAGGCATAAAGGACTGGGGCTAAACCCTGGGGGTGGAAGGAACTTCCTTTCCCCAGATGCTGAGTTGAGGGGGAGTGGTGGTGGTTGTTGGTACAATCTTAGAAGCATAGTAATTATATAAAGGTAGAAACATGGAAACCAAGAGAAACAAAGAATCAGAAACCCTGAAGACATGGAAGCTTCCCACCGACCTCCTGAACCTCTTCTCTCCACTCCTTCCCCATTCCCTCTACTCCTTTTCTGTTCTCTCCTTTCCCTAGGAGCCCTGTTGGACCCCACCATCCTCTTCCACTCCATCACGGCCAACATCATCTGCTCCATTGTGTTTGGTCAACGCTTCTCCTATCATGATAAACAGTTCCAGGACGTGCTGAACAAGTTCAATGACACATTTACACTTACAAGCAGTCTCTGGGGCCAGGTGGGGTGTTGGACTACAGGAATAGGGTGGCACTGGGAGAGAGAGAAGGAAAGGACACAGAAGAATAGAGGGCATTGGAGGACCTCAGAGCACAGGGACACAGGGAGGGGAGGACGTGGGGAAGGGAAACAGGAAAATAGATGGTAAGGACATAGGAAGGAGCGGGCAGAAAGAAATAGGGAGGGGGAGGACACAGGGAGCAGGCACATTAGAGGAGGGACAGAAGGAGGGTGGCCCAGGCTTGGAGTAATGCTGGTGCCTGTGGAAGTCAGGGGACTCATCCTATTCTCTTTTTTCCACTTCCTCCACATCAGATCTTTGAGCTGTTTTCAGCTTTCCTGAAGTTCTTTCCTGGTCCCCATCGGCGTGTCCACAACAACCTGACATTCATCAGTGCATTCATTGCTGAAAATGTGGAGAAGCACAAAGAGAGCCTGGACCCCAGTGCCCCCCGAGACTTTATTGATGTGTACTTGCTCCGTATGGAGAAGGTAGGCAATCAATCCCTCCCCTCCAAGTACTACCACCGTGTGTGTGTGTGTGTGTGTGTGTGTGTGTGTGAGTGAGTGAGAGAGAGAGAGAGAGAGAGAGAGAGAGAGAGAGAGAGAGACAGAGACAGAGACAGAGACACAGGCACAGACACAGGCACAGACACAGACAGAGACAGAGAGACAGAGATGAAGGAGGGAGAGGGAAGAGGGAAAGACAGAAGGGGAGAGGGAGAAAGTGAGAATGAAATCCAATTGCTCTCTTGGTGAAATTTGGTGGCCAGCACTCCTTATCCTTGTGGGGTAGGGACAGAGAGGAAAGAAGTGAAGAGAGTTTGACAAAAAGAAAGGGAGCTATAGAGGAAAGGAAGAGAAAGAATGAGAGAGAACTGCAGAGAGTAATAGAAAAGAAAGGTGGAATAAACACAGTGACAGAAAGAGAGAGACAGAGAGGGTTTTTCCAAGGCTCTATCTCTTCTGAGCCCCACTCCCTTTCTTTATTTCTCTCTCTCTCCTTCCTTGGTGCTTTCATAAGTGCTCCATTACCCTTCTCGGGTTAAATGACCACTTCTATGTAGAGGTGCGGAGGCAAATCTACACAGCCAGCTCTCATTTCTCTTGTGAGCTCCAGCCTCACATTTCCAAGTGCCTGCTGGACAGTTCTTTCTGCAGCTGGGATCCCAGAGGCACCTCAGATTGCAAGCTCCCCAACCAGACGGTAAACACCTTAAGGGCAGGGACTGTCTTTTTCCTCTTTTTGTATCCCCAATGCTTAGCACAATGCCTGGCACATAGCGAGTGTTTAATAAATGTTTATCGAATGAAAGAAGGAAGACATCAAAAAAGGACCTCACGTCCCCTCTCCCTCTTCCCAATCTATCCATCCTGCAATCTCCATGTTTCTAGTAATGGCATCACCACTTCCCAGTCATCCATCTTTGTAACCTCAGAGTCAGCCTTGACCCTTAATTCTCTCTTGCACCCCTTGTCCAGTAGGGTTCCAAGTCTTCTCTTTTCACCCTCACTGGCAACTCAGTACTAAGTTCCACTCACGTGCCCTTTCCTCTAGTTCAGGCCCATAGCACCTCTTAGCTGGTTGAGTGCAATAGCTGATTAATTAGCCTCCCTACTTCCAATTCCCCCCATCTCTAATCTAGCCTCCAGTCAATCAGTCAATAAACATTTATTCCATCCCTATTGTGTGCCAGGCACTGTGCTATGCATTGGGGTTACAAAAAGAGGCAAAACTACAATCCCTGCTCTCAAGGAGTTTGCAATCTGATGAACCCTCACAGCTGCTAAGCTCATATTCCTATTGCATAGACCTATTTCTGTCCTCTCTTCAAGAACCTTCATGAGCTTCCTATTGCCTTAGAATAAAGTAAAAAAAATCTCAGTCTGGCCCCTAAAACCTTCCAATCTGCTTCTCTTTTCAGTTATCTCTTACATTATTCCTCTTTGAATTTCCTATTCCAGTCAAACCAGCCATCAAGCTCTCCTCTTCGTGCTCCCAGGAGATCCTGTGGCCTGCCTCTTTGCCTTTGCACAAGCTGTGTCCCACTCCTGGAATGCCATCTCTCTGCTCCTCTGCCTCATAGAATTCTAGTTCACTTCAAAGCCCAGCTCAGGGGCCACTTCTTACATGAGGGGTTTCCTACTGCCCCCAGCTGTTCATGCTATCTCTTTCCTGAAATTACTTCATAGTACTTTGTCTGGAGACCTTGGTTTTACTGATCTCTGGGTTACATCACCCTTGTCCCTAAATAGAATTGAAACTCCCCGAGGGCACTCTTTTGTTTTTATCTTTATATTCTCAGCATTTGACAAGATGTCTTTCACTACTTGGTAAGCACAGTAGTTGCTAGATGAATTGAATTGAGAGAGACGGGCAGTGTGGTTCAGTGAAAAGAGCACTGGATCTGGTTAAAATTCCACCTTTATCATTTGCTACTCGTGTAATCAAAGGCACATCATTGATCTTCTCTAGGCCTTCGTTTCCCCATCTGTAAGCTGAGGATGTCCTCTAAGGTCCTTTCCTACTCTAGAAATATGGGCTAGAAATAAAAGGAGCACAGGTGAGAGAAAAGAGACAGAAAAGGAGGGAGCCAGGGAAAGATGAACTGAATGAGAGTCGAAAAGGCATAAGGAGGAAAAAACAGAGCAGAGACATAGAAGGACATGGTGTGTGTGTGTGTGTGTGTGTGTGTGTGTGTGTGTGTGTGTAGATAGCAAACAGAGCCCAAGAGCCAGAAGGAGGTAGATATAGAGGATGAGGATGGAGGGAGACAAAGGAGGAGAATACAGTCAGAGGGACATAAGGAGGAGACAAAAGAGAAAAAAGGCGGGCAGAGACAGAGACCAAGATGGAGGGATTTAGAGAGACTGAGCCTTAATGACAGAGGTGAAGAGACAGGGAAGTTCAGACATATGAAAGGAGAGACTCTGAGGATAACCTATGGCCTCCTTCATCTTTATCTTTCTCCCTGCCTTCCTCCTTCTTTTCCCTAGGAAAAGGAAATCGCTAACACTAAATTCCACTACAGAAACCTCATCATGACTGTCATGTCACTGTTCTTTGCGGGCACGGAGACAACCAGCACCACCTTGCGCTATGCCTGCCTCCTGCTCCTCAAGTACCCCTGGGTGGCAGGTGGGTAAATACAGCAGCTCCAGGGAGTGACTCTTCTGCCCAGGGATTGGAGCCTTTGCTAGGCTTTGAGTGGAAGTTGAGGTCAGGTGGAGGGAGGGAGCCTGTTATAGTTAGTAACAAGACGACAGGCCAGAGAGAAGTTTTCTTCAGCCTCAGTTCCTAAGCCCCCATCTCTGGCAAAGGACTCTGAGAAATGACTCAAAGGGTGAGGGATATATATAGAGAGATATAGATATATAGATACATAGATATGTGAGTGTGTATTTATGTGTGTATATATATGGTCTCTTTCCCTGTGTCCTCCTGTACTATGGATAATTTTCAACATCTCAAACTCTCCCATGGGAAGCTGCCTGCCCAGGATTCCTCACAGTTATTCTGACTTCCATCTAAATGGATAAATTCACTCAGTTGTTTAAAATACATGCATATATACCTGCATATATAATATGCATATACACACATATACCTATATATACACAATATGTAGATATGTATGTGTGTACGTATATATGTATATGCATATATATGTGTATATATATACACATACATATGTGTGTGTGTGTATGTATACATGTATATGTGATTTTTCCTTCCTGGGACACTTCATGGAATTGGGTTTATGTGTCCTTTCCTCTGCCTCAGAGAAAGTTCACAAAGAGATAGACCAGGTGATTGGGAGGAACCGTCTTCCAGAGCTCAAAGATCGAGCCAAAATGCCCTACACAGATGCTGTCATCCATGAGACCCAGAGATTTGGTGACCTCCTCCCTATGGCTTTGCCCCATTCTGTGACCCAGGACACCTCCTTCAGGGGCTACCTCCTTCCCAAGGTGAGATCAACAGCATTCCCAGAATCTTCTGAACCATTCACTTCTAACTCATGTAAAGGAGCTCAGGATCCCATAGAACCCATGACTAAATGACTCCATCCTAGAGCGAAGAAAGTCAAACCTGGAAGGCACTTCAAACACAGAAAATAGAGCTCTAAGAGCTCTCATAACATAGAACATAAAATGCCAAGCCAAAAGGAAAGTTAGAACAAACAAAGAGGATGCTAGAATTTGGAAGACTGTCAAATTATTGAGCAAAGGTTTCCAGAGTTAGAAAGAACATTGAAAATAGGATGCTACCATTCTAAGAACTCATAAAGAAGAAAGTTGAGTGTTGACACTGATGGGGGCCCTGGAGATCTATTGCAAGGCACTTATTTCATAGAGGAAGACATACAAGTCTAGAGAGAATAAAATTTTACAATGAAGTGATATCCACGTTAAAATAGGTTTCTCTACTATGTATATTGAACGTATATCACCAGAAGAGCCAGACTCAGAATATGGGTCTTAAACAAAGAATACTAGAAGGTTAGATAGAGCAGAATCTAGTGACACAGATATTACCTCTCTATGCCTCAGTTTCCTCATCTCCATGATAAGATTGCTGGATTAGAGAAACTCCATGCCTGTGCAGACTCCAACCTTTGTTGGTCTGTGGAAACTGATGGGCAGTCTTCTTGCCCCTCCCTCATTCACCGAGGGTCTAAGCTCCGGTGTGTCAGGGTGATCTGGTCTTCTGGTGCCTACGATGACTTGAAGCTTGACCCAGCATCTCTGCAAATCTCAACCCTCATGTGCACTTGGCTGTAGGACAAGCTCCATCTACCATGCCTCAGCATGGCTCTGCTTGCCCAGGTTATGATCTGGCTCTGGAGAGCCTTGATGGTCTGTTCTCAGGTGATGGGGAAGATGTAGTGGAGCTCACTTTCTACTTCTGATGACACCCTCCTCTCATGGCAGGGCACGGAAGTGTACCCTGTCCTGAGCACAGCCCTGCATGATCCCAGGTACTTTGAGAAACCTCATGCCTTTGACCCCAACCATTTCTTGGATGCTCAGGGATCTCTGAAGAAGAGTGAGGCCTTTATTCCCTTCTCTTCAGGTAAGTACTGTCCCCAGGGCCCATAGAGACTCCCTTGGGGACCTTCTGCTCAAGTGCCAGTTAAAGACAACCAACCCTAGGCTGTCTCTGTCTCTAGGCTGTCACTTCAGGCTGACCTGGAAGCTTAGGGGCCATTGGGAAAGATGGGGGATATTGGATAAATGAACCCCAAGGCCCACAAATGTCTCCTCCATATGTATGCTTTTATATACAAATACAATATAATGCCTTATCACATAACATGAACACACCTCTTTATGTTTATCTTCCTTTATCAATCCAACTTGATCATATCTCTATCACCAAAGCAGAATTGCAGCAGCTCAAAAGAAATGTGAGGTGCACAGTTAGACACTTCCATTCCAAGTGTTCATATGGACTATTTGTGACCTCTGGTAGAGCCTTCCAAGCACTTCTTGGTTGGATCAGCCACAGTCAGACACACTGTACCTTGACCCCAACATAGTGATGTCATTTTAGTCCTCTTCAAGCATGAAGGATAATAATCAAACCAAACCTTTATCAAGGTTTATCAAAAGCAGATTTTTTTTATTTTTAAGCAATTGGAGTTGAGTGACTTGCCCAAGATCACACAGCTAGTAAGTGTCAAGTGTTTGATATGAGGCTGGATTTGAACTCAGGTCCTCCTGATTTCAAGGCTGGTGATCTATCCACTGTGCCACCTAGCTGCCCAAGGCAGAATTTTGCAAAGGAAACAATATCTCTTTTTTTCCCTCCATTGATCTTCACCCAAATGCCCTCCACCCTGCTTCTCTACTTTATTTCCTGAATGGTATCACATGAATTTACCTTCTTAATATATAATGCCCCTCTATTGCCTCTTCTGTTCCTTTGGAATACGATGTACCCCATCCTTCTGATATCACATTTTTAGCCATACATTCCATCTCTCCAAGCCTTAGTGTACCCACGAGATAAAATTTTGCCTCCTTGCATTGGGATCTCTGGATCCTTCTGTTTCTTTCTCATCCATGCTGAATTTGTACATAGACACTGGAGGCCATGGACTTTGTTGCTGGCCCAAATCTCAGTCCCCTCATTTTCCCCCAGAGTGACCCTGGGCAAGTCATTTCCTTTCTCTCACCCTCAGTTTCTTCATGTGTGAATGAGGGACTTCAGCCAGATGACCTCTATGGTCCCTTCCAGCTAGAGAACTGTGATCGTGAATCATTTCATTTCCCTGGGTCTCTTGGGCTTGGACTAGACAGCTGCTGAGGTCATTCTAGCTCTCACACTCTGATCCTGTGGGAATTGTGAGAAAACATTTATGTTACTGCTCTGACATGGTGGACATGAAGGAAGGATTTTGTGCACTTCCAAGATGGTTCTTGGGAAGTGGTGTCCCCTTGGCATGGCCTCCTTGACACTCCTCTCTGTACCCTCAGGGAAGCGAACATGCCTGGGGGAGGGCGTTGCCCGCATGGAACTTTTCCTCTTCTTCACCACCATCCTACAGAACTTCTCCCTCAGCTCCTCTCTGGATCCTGATAGCATTGACCTCACTCCAAGGCTTAGTGGAGCAGGCAATGTGCCTCCCATCTACCAGCTTGGATTCCACCCTCGCTGAAGCTCCCTTCATGGCCGAGGCTTGGAGAAGTAGCCACTGGGATAACCTCACTATCGTCACCAAACAGAATATCCCAGAGGTCAACCAGGAAACTTGAGCAGAAAGGGGGTTAGAAGTAGCTTCAGTTTCCTTATCAATAAAATGAGTGGGTTGCCTCTGAAGTCCCTTCCAAATCTTGATCAGTAATGATTGTATGCTTCTGGTAAGTGACCTGAAATTCTTCCTATCCTCAAGGTTCCTCCTATAGTCTAACCTCCTTCTTACATGCTGCACATTCATCCTATCTCATAAGAGGGAGTCAGAACCATCCTTGGTGCTCTTGTGTCTAAACTGGGTGATCATGAAGCCTCCATCCCAAGAGAGGGAATCAAACCATATGATGGCAAAGCTAATAGAGTGTTGAATTTGGAGTCAGGAAGACCTGGCTTCATTTCCTTCCTGTGACATTGACTTACTGAGCCTTGCAACCAGAGAGAAATCCCTTTAACTTTTGTGCCCCTGCAAAAGGAAGATAGTAATATTAGTGGTACCAATTATACAGGGATGTTCTGAAAATCAACTCAGATTATGCATGAAAAGCATCATGATTTTTTTAATGGGATCTTTGATTTTGTGGATGGAGGAAACACCTGATACAGCCCTCAAGTCTACATCTGCTTTCAGCAAATGGGCTTGGGTAGTTGCAGGAGCAACCTTAGCTGCAGTGATCTGCCAGGATGGTCAGAGACACACCTTCAACACAGGTCTTCTGGTCTCTGAGGCCAGCTGTGTATCCATTCTGAGAGTCAGCCTCTCATAGTGCTATGTAAACATCGGATACTAAATATTCTGGGTCAGAAGGGACCTTGGAATGTAGAATGCTCAAGGGTTTTCTGTTCATGGGGGGGGGGGTGCCCTTCAGAAATGACCTAGTCCGATCTACTCAATTTTGATTCACTTCTTTCTTTTAAGAAGTGATTATTAAGCACCTACTGTATGCACCATAATATGCTAGGCACTGGGTATACAAAGATGATTGCTCTTTTCCATACTGTACTCTTCAAATAAAGCATTTAAAAATGTAATTGACAGCTTTTGGTTTAATATACAGAGACTCAGACAAATCGTTTGTTCAAGGGCATCACTTAAAACTAGTGAGTGTCATCCAGGCTATAAACACTCAAGCTTATGCTTCCAAGATCAGCAAACCTCTATCACCCCAGCCCACAAGGACCACCAGACCTTTCACTTCACCCAGAATCCAAGAGTGAAAGAGTTGGAAGGATCTCATGACCAACCTTTGTCTATAGAAGAATCCACTGGACAATGTTGCCTGAAGTAGCCATCTAGCCTCTAGGCATGAGAGAGCCACCCCTTTCCCCAGGCAGCCCATGCTTCTTTTGGCCAGTGTTAATGATTAGAAACTTTTTCCTGACCTCAGTCCTAAAACTTCATCATCGTCATCTTCTTCTTCTTCTTCTTCTTCTTCTTCTTCTTCTTCTTCTTCTTCTTCTTCTTCTTCTTCTTCTTCTTCTTCTTCTTCTTCTTCTTCTTTGGCTAGGGAATGGGGTTAAGTGATTTGCCCAGGGTCACACAGCTAGTAAGCGTTATGTGTCTGAGAATGGATTTAAACTCAGGTCCTCCTGAATCCAGGGCTGGTGCTCTGTCCACTGTGCCACCTAGCTGTCCCCTAAATCTACTTCTTTATAACCCATTCCCCCATTCCTCTTGGTTCTGCTCTTTACAGCCAAGCAGAACATCTCTTTCCACATGACAGCTTTTCAGATTCTTGAATATAGCTGTCATGTTGTCCATACCCCACCATTTTCTCTTCTTCAGGCTAAATATTTCTAACTCCTTCAAGCAATCTTGTTATGATAATAAGAATTGATGAACATTTATACAGCACTTTACATATATTATCTGATATTGTTAATATCATCCTTATTTTACAGATGAGGAAACGGAGGCAGACAGAGGTTAAGTGATTTGCCCAGGGCCTCACAGCTACTAAGTGTCTGAGGCTGAATTTGAACTTGAGTTTTCCAGGACCCTATGTCTAATGCTCTCTCTACTTCAGCACAAGGTCACTAGACCCCTATCCATCCTCCTATGCGTGCTTTCCAGTTTGTGCTTGTCTTTCTTACTGTGTGATAAGAGAGGAGTACCCATGATCTGGACTAGCAAGGGCAGGCAGAGGAGAGTCCTTCAGAACCATTGAGACCTACAGTCTGCCCATTAAGCCTGGGGCACTTTCCTTGTTATCTCACTTTAAGTTAATATTGATTTCTATCACTGGTGAACATTTTAGATCAACAATGAAACCTATTCAGTTATTTTGTGGGTGTCTATGTCTAAGACTTGAAGGTGAAGATGTAAGCGGGCTGCCACCTCCACTGGGAATAGTTGTGTGACACTAGTGACCCATCACTCAGCCAGCTGTGAATCCATCATGATGCTCCAGCTTGTCCACAAGGACACCAAGAAAGACTTGGTCAAATGATTGGCTGATGTCAATATCTATGATATAGCAGTCTAGCTGGCTCATTTTGGTCCTGATTTATGATTTCACAGTTGGGGGAAGAGTTTCCTGGGAAAGCTGAGAGTCCCTCAGCATACATGTCAATGGCAGTAGGGGAACCTGAATCTTTCTGTCTTCAAGGCTGGCCTTCTATGCACCTTGCCATGCTATCTCTCTCTCATCTGTTGATTCTGTCAAAAGGAAGTAGAGTGAGTATGGGCTGATCTCTTGTGGATGAAGCCACTGGGGCTCACTGCTTCCCTTTCCACATTAACACTCACAAACCATTCCTTTAATAATGGGTTTTAGAATTTTTCCAGCAATCAAAGTCAAGCTCATTCTCATTTTGTTTTGAAGACCCTAACCTCTTTGCATTAAAACAAAACAAAAGAAAAGAAGGGACAATGTTGGCTCATTTTCTCTCCAGGGCTATCTCTCTTAATCTCTAAGACCTACAAAGTGGCATTGCCAGCATGTCAGTGATCTCATTCAGCAGTCCCAGAGAAGAGTTCGTGTGCAGGATTTTTGACTTGAGTTTGTTTAGAGCAAGAAAAATGTTCTGTTTTGAGGTACTACCTCACACTTCTTGGATTGGCTAATATGACAGAATGTTGAGGGCCGATCTTAAGAGTCTGATAAGGGTTTAAGATCCAAGGCAGAGTTTGACCTCTGCCCAGGCTTTTATCCAAAAGGGCTCAGTGATTAAGTGGTATGGCTCTCCAATTCCTTCCTGATTAGGAGGTCCCTGAGATATTCCTTCTCACTCTTTGAACCTTAGATTTACACATTCACTCCTCTATGCAGGTGGTGCCAAGGTGCCTTGGAAAACCTTGGAAAATACAACCCAATCTAGGAACCCTGATAACAAAGAAATGTATGATGTCACATCCTCAGCAGATGTTTTGGGAGTATCTCACAGGGAGGACTCTTTGAAGCTAGGCTAGATTTTCTCTATATATCCTGTAACCTCACATGAATAAACTGAGTCAGTAATGCTGCTCAACCTGACCCATGTCTGAAGTTATTTCACACCTCTCCGTTTGGTGTACAATCTGGTTGCAGGCAACATTTTAGCGCCGCTGAAGAGTGACAGAAAGGGGTTTGTTTATTACAAATAGTGAGCTACAGGAATTTTGGAACATGCTAAAAATATATCTCACTCCTCCAGAGAATGCCCCATTAGCAACAAAAGTGCCCAGGGTAAATGTGGGGGCAGGAACAGAGGAAGAAGAAGAGAGGAATAGACTATTTGTTGAGAAGCTTAGAATTGCAGAAGAGGATGAGGTGAAAGGTGTATTCCCTTTCTCTTAGACAACAGAACTGGAGAAAGCTCATTCTCCAAAGGAGTTGTTTGATTTGTATAGGGAATTTCTGACTAGTCTCCCTTTCATTATGTTATCTGTTCTATGTGAGTGTCTGTGTGTATGTGTGTAATCTGAAACCTTTTGCAGCTAGCTAGCTTTCTGTCCTTCCCCCTTCCTACTACCAGCAGCCTCTCAGGAGCAGGTGGATGGGGGTGAGATGGAGAGAGAAAATATATTTTATTATTTACATTACATGATTGATAAAAGACAAGAAAGTTTAAGCATGCAATAATGAGAGAAGTAGGGGTAGAAAGAATAGCATAATCTGTCTGCATTAATAGCATGAATGGAGGACTTGAGAATAAAAGATTTGAAAACTTTTGAAGAGTTATTAGGAAGAAATTCTCTTTCTTTTTTGCATTCTAAAGCTCTGGCCAAAGCTTTTGGGTGTAAAATTGTTATCAAAGATAAGTTGTTGGAAAATATTCTCTTCCTTTCTCTCCATTCCAACCCTGGCCAAGTTGGGGTGTGAGAGACAGAATGAGAATAGTGAAAAGGAGGGTGCACCCCCTCAGTTCATAAAGCAAAATTTTTTATGTATTTGGAACGCAATCAAAAGAAAATTTAGCTCATTCAAATTAGTAATATGCTTGTTTGAAATTTTAAAAATCTAGTATTGTTACAGATTGGTAAACTTTTGTATTGTTTTGTGCTATGTCAAATAATTTTTAATAATTTAGGTATTATTAAAATGTGAATTAAAAAATACTGAAAGACAGTGGGGAAGCTGTGTAAAAACCAGCTAAATTATTTTATAAGTCCAGTTAATTTTGTCTCATAATGTTTTGTAACTGACAATTAGAAAACCAGGTATTTCCATCTTTACCTGTAATCAAAGAACAGCTTATAGTTAAAACAATTTGACTATCACTTCTGAAAATTACCAGACTGTTAATTAAGTTATTTGAAGTTACTATTTTAAGATTAACACCTAGAATTTTTAATTACTTATGAGTGAAAAGGAGGGGCACAAGGCAATTCTCTCTACTTTGTAAATTTGCCAGGGCTCCTGGAAACTATCTGTTGTGGGCAAGGTCATCGGCCCTGAATGGAAAAGAGACAGAGAGAGAGAGAGAGAGAGAGAGAGAGAGAGAGAGAGAGAGAGAGAGAGAAACAGAGAGAGACAGAGAGAGAACTTGTTAGGATTATGCAGTTTCTAAACCATTAATTTAGCTTGCTGAGAAGCTGCAACTATATGAAATGATTCCTAATAATTGGCTTTTTACCAGAACA